GTTTAGGCATGATTATGTGGGAACTTACGTCTGGTCGTCAGCCATTTTATAATAGAGCACATGATGAACATCTTATCCTAGATATATGGGATGGATTGCGACCCGAGATTACTGAAGACACTCCCGATTATTGGAAGGGATTGATGCAAAGATGTTGGGATTCAAATCCTTTAAATCGACCCGGATTAGAAATAATAGATCAAGCCACCAAGAAGTTCTATACGAACGATTATTACCAATTTCAAAATGCAGAAGAAAAACGAAAGCAAATGATAGACTCTGGCACCTCATTTGTAAAGGGACCCGAACAGAATCACCCAAAAGCAGTGTATCATGCTAGATTATTAAATAACATTGTAGAGACTGCAAATGCTATTAAAAATTCGAGAGATTCGTTTAACCTTACGAAACCTTCAGGTAACTTTAAACCTCGCATGTAGTACTTTATAACATACATATTTAGCTTTGGATCAACTATTTAAAAACTTTATTATTTCAATATAGCAGCTAGTGAAGAGATATTGGTGCCGCCTGAAATTCAAGTAGAACCCCTAAGACCAAAAAACGTTAGAAGAAGGCATTATCAAAAAGGGAATTGTTCTAACTGCAACACATACAGAAGATATGCGGATACGGACAAGAAAATTTGCAGGCTTTGTTCTTTTGCAGAATTATTTCCAAAAAGTAAAAATCAAGATATTAATAACTTCCTCATAAGATCATCTAATAATAAAGGAAAAAGCATTTTAGAGTGGATACCATATGAGGATTTTTCGAATGTAGAATACATTGGAAAAGGTGGATTTAGTGAAGTTCACAAAGCGATGTGGAGCAGGGGACATATTAAACATTGGAATTTAATAACGGGAGAAGTAGTTCGTTCCGAACCCGTGGAAGTAGCGTTGAAAGTGCTTGATAAATCAAAAGATATAAATTCAAACTTCCTAAATGAAGTATGTATCTTATTTTTATTGATATTTATTTTCTATTCCATTTTGCTTACAAATTATTTATATAATTTTATAGTTACAATTTTTACATTTATTTAAATCAAACGAATTAAAACATCGTCATATTGTTAAATGCTATGGAGTTTCACAGGATCCCAAAACCGAAAATTACATTTTTGTCATGCAATATGCAAATTATGGGAGTTTGAGTGAACTCTTGGCAAATGAATTTTATAACAAGGTAACTTGGAACCTTAAAAAAAGGGTTGTTCTCGTACTCTTGGAATCTATCAAAGAGATTCATCGACAAAATTTAATACATCGGGATCTGCACAGTGGTAATATATTGGTATCTAAAAGAAAAAGAAATATTCATATTGATATTTCAATATTGCTTAGCGATTTGGGGTTAAGCCAGCCTGTGGATAAAAAGTCCAAATCAATTTATGGAGTTATTCCTTATATGGCACCTGAGAATTTTGATGGAAAATTTTTGACCCAATCTGATATATATAGTATAGGTATGATTATGTGGGAACTCACGTCTGGTCACCAACCATTTTGTGATAGAGTACATGATGAAAATCTCATTGTAGATATAATTAGAGGGTTGAGGCCAGAAATTACCAAGGACACACCCAGATGTTGGGCGAATGTAATGAAAAAATGTTGGGATCCGGACCCCTTAAAACGACCGACAATTGAAGAAATAAAGGAAAATCTAGATCCCGAAGAACTTCAAATGGCAGCGAAAAAACGTGTAGAAATGATAAAATCTGGAATTCCATTTGTAGAAAAATTTGGATTCAAACATTCAAAGTCCGTTTATTTTAGTAGAAAATTGAATTCTCTAATTGAGTCTTCAAAGGTTATTTTATATGATTCATATAATATCCATGAAATATCAGGTAAATCTATATACTGTATTTATTTTATTTATTTATTTATTTTCTGTTAACTCCGATTTAAAATTCACGAACGTACTGTATATTTATCTTTATTAATAATAATCCATTTCTATAGAATATAATTCCAGTAACGTTTCGGAGAATTCTCTGTGGGTGTTTCCTCGTTATACGATAAATTTGTTTTTGATCACGATTTACTTATTAATTAACACAATAAACTATAATACTATTGGTGTGCCTTATAGGACAAACCATGAAGCTGAAGAAACTGATGGTAAGAAAGAAGGATGTTTGTCTGTTTATTATAAATCTGACCCAAATATAATATATTTTCATTATACTGTACTTAGATTTCCATGAGAAAATAGATGGTAAGAATCCTTTTATTCGAATAATGTTAACTCACATATGTATTAATTAATCAAACTATTTGCGCTTATAGAAATTGATTTTGGCTTGTAAATAAGTTTTATGAGTTATACTAGCATCCTTGCGTTTATTTGTCCATGACCTATCAAATTTCCATGGTTCATTTTGTAATCAATATACTGTATATGGAATTAATTTTTTTGAGCTACGTTGTGTTATTCTTTTATTAAAATTGTTTCGTCTTTTAAAAAAAAAAAATCCTTCTCAGAAGCCTTGTTAAGTGGATAGATCAGCGAGACTGACATTGGATGTTAAATTTCTATATTTATCCTAATTTTGCGTTGCCAACAAGGTCCAGCTGAGATTGAATGGAAAGAAATTTGTATACTGCAAAAAACTAAGAAACATGTGTATCAGGAATTATAAATCGCGCTTTTATTATTTATAAAGCTTCAAATAAACTCTTATTTGCCTGTGTCTGTAATGTAACACGCGCATGTTAAAGCAAAAAATTTAATGGCCTTCCGGTAATGTTTACGTCATATTCTGGAGCAACATTAATTTAGAGATATAATACGAATCTTTATATGAAATTGGTCTATAAAATTGATAAACTTCAAATACAGTACTGTATATGCAGTACTTCCTTGAAATTGAAAATTTCTTATAACAATTTTAAATCACCCATTACAGCATTATAATGTACTGCAGTGTTAAGCATACTGTAATTTATAGACCAAAAATATTGAGTGCAGTAATATAATTTACTCAAGCTGTTAAAAAAAGATGATAATTCCATTGACTTTTTGCAACAATATTGCTATTAATTAATTGCATTTAAATAATTTCAATCATATATTCCTTTATCAAATATTCGGCATACAAGATATCGTATCAGGTTTACAAACGATATTTGGAATTTAATTTATGGCCCGCAATAGGAAAAAAATGGGATAAAATTTATCTCTTGATATTTTATGGACAAGGAAAGTTGGTAAAATAATGAAAACGTTCTTAGTTCAACTTCTCATCTACAATAAGATGCGCATTTCATTAATTTAACGAAAACAATTAAAGAATATGAATTTGCAAGTAGTTACGATCATCAAAATTTTTTCGATGTCCAGTTTACTCGATAAAAGAAAATCTGATACACGGGATTTTCGAAAAAATCCAAAATTTTTTTTAAATGTAAATGTTACTACATATTAAACTTTTTATTTTGTTAATCATATATACTTTTGCGTATCAAGTAAGTATAACTAAATCTATATAAAGTGCAAGTTTTGTTAATTTTTAACAACATTTTAATATTAACATTTATAGTTTACATTTTGCGCAATGATATTTAATTTTGATTCTAATTTTAATATTCATATTATTTCAAAACTTGTGTTTTAACAAACAATATATAATTAATAAATATTGTTGTTTATTATGTTTTAAATTATTTGTGTATTGAATTTTATAAATCTTTATTGAATATTAAAAATCATTTAATAGATAAAATTGCTAATAATAAAAAATCGGACTTCAAAATTTTGATCATTAATTTATAATCATAATTTCTTATAAAAATTTTTATTTTATTATGTAAATTGGCCTTAATAAATTAAGTAAACTTATTTGTTGTGATGAAGGTTATTTATAACAAACATTTTTAAAAAAATTTAATGAAATTATTATATTATAATAAGTAATTTTAAATAAATATAATTTATTAAATTAAATAATAAAATTTAATTGAATGTCGAATTTGTTATTAGAAATATATTTTTTACTTAATTTATCAAAGTTGGCGTTAATAATAAAATTAAATGTTTTATATGAAAATACTGTATTATCACAAATCAATTATAAAATATAATAGTTTTTTTTTTTTTTTTTAACCAGTAAGATCTTGCCTAACATACTTTATCCAATTTACATTTGTA